TGGACTCCATCCTGTGTGGGGTTACCACTGGGTCAAGACGAATGAGAACATGACCTGGAACGAGGTGGAAGACCGCTTCTGGCGCTACGTCCAGCGCAAAGGGTATTCCGACCAAGAGTTCAAAGAACTCCTTGAGGATCGCACTCTGACCGCAATCCTGGACGTGCGCGAGCTCCGCATCGAGTTCGCTCAACCCGTGAGCAAGCGCAAGCTCCACTCGAAGATGGACGAGCTGAAGCAAGAGGCGAGAGCCAAAGCTCGTGAAGAGCGTGGGCGTGGTGCGACTACGTCTGCTACCGTGCCCCGGGTACCGGCCAAGAAGCCAAGGACTACTTACGAAGCTGCCGCTGCTTCTCGTCCCATATCGCAACAGCCTTCGGGCAGTCTGCCTGGAGCTGCTCAACGAGCTCCCACGAGTTATCCGACTCAGGGTAACCCCTCCACTTCACGAGCAGCTGGCGCTTGCCATGGAGCCGCCGCTCCCGGACGACTCGTTCCACATGGTAGTGGATCTGCCCATTACGATCAAGGAGGGCCGGCGGTGGCCTCGCACGGCCATGGCTACGAGCCTGAGGCGACGCAGCCGTATGCTGGGGCCCCGAGTCAGGTGGTGGCCCTGCAGCAAGAGGAGATTCGTCTTCTCCGGGACCGTGTGTACGTCCTCGAGATCGCGCTTGGCGTCGGCCTTGGTGGCGAGGCTGCCGCTCGTGCTGGTCAGCCTGGTGCCGTGGAGCGGCTCCGTGAGGATGTTGCCTCGCTCTATCAAGAAACTCGCAGTCTCCATGGCCGTGTGGATCGTCGAGCCGACCTGTCGTCTTACGACTCGCTGCGAAACCAGCTCGCTGGCCTTCGGGCCGAGCTTCATGGCCACGCGCCGTATCCGGAGCAGCAGCCCCACTCGTATCAGGCCCAGTTTGGCCAGGGCTCGTACGGGGCCCCTGCGTATGCTGATCCGATGTACGCCGCGCCGTCTTACGACCAGCGCGCGTATCAGGCGCCTTACCGCGACCCGACGCCGCGCTTCGAGGAGCTGCGCTCTTCTCCACCGGGCCACCCACCGCTTCCTGCGGGGCAGCCAGAGCCAGAGGGTCATGGTACCTCTTAAGACGACCCACGTAAAACGTCGGGTGAGTCGTCATCGACTTGGGCAAGTCTATGGTGTACGCCGCGCCATGCTGGCTGAGGACCGTGAAGGGTCCAATGAAGCGGTGCTTCAGCTTGTTGCTCTCGACCGAGCTAACAGTGTTTAGCGGTAGGTTTCTAGTATCTAGGAGAACTAAATCCCCAACCTTAAACACGTTCATGTTTCCTCTTCCATTTCGGTCAGAGTACTCCTTCTGTTTATCTTGGGCTTGCGCCATGGTGTCTCGCACCCTGCTGAGTATGTTCAGCCTGTCTTCGGCAAACGAGGACAGTTGCTTCCGCAAGGCGGCTGGACTCACGTCCGAGACTTGGGAGAAAAAGGTTTTCCGAGCCTCTCCCCCACTTAGGACCGAAGCCCCGGTACTGCCTCGTAATGTGAGCGGCACCTGAGGGTGGCGCAACCCGTTCAGGTAAAAGGGCGTAAAGCCCGTCGATGCATGTACCGCATTGTTGAGTGCGAACTCAACCATGGGCAAGCGATCAGCCCAAGAGCGGGGCATCTCCGCGCAGATACTGCGGAGCGTGTCCTCGAGCACGCGATTGACGCGCTCCGTCTGGCCATCCGTCTGCGGGTGGTCCGCCGTCGACATCGACAGCCGTGTGCCGGGAAGGCGAAACAGCGTCTGCCAGAACGTAGCGGTGAACCGCGGGTCTCGATCAGAGACAATGGTCTCGGTCAGACCGTGCTGTCGGAAGACACAGTCCATGAACAGGCGAGCGACCTCGTCGCCAGTGACGGTGTCACAAACTGGAGCAA